TTGCCCGTCTGCAAGACATCAGTTCGCAGTCTTGACGAATCTGTCGTTCCGGGTTTCAGATCAACAAGGAGGAAGCCGTAGGGTCTGCTCGTCGCCTTCTCAAATTTCCGAAGAAAGAAGTCCGACCTAGACGGATACATCTGTCGTCCTAGTGTCATGACGGGTTGCCGATCAATGGGACTGTTAAAGAGCACAAGATAATGACAGTTTCGTCTCTGTGATGACTGCCTTCCGTAAATAGATGGTTGATTCTTGAATCGTTAGCCGATGTGGACATCAGATCATCCAAAATGATCATGTTCTTCTTGTTGGGATCGAAAAAAGTCGTCGCTTTCTAAATCGACCGGGATATCGCGGAAAAATTCCACTTGCGGAATCACTGTTTTCTGTATTTCCCCAATAGAGTCGCTGCCATCTCTTCTACAACCAAACGATCCTTTCTGGGCACGGATGTCACATCCCCCTTACTCGTTGTAGCATTTTTTTCATAAAATACGTCTTTCCGCACAAGGTCGGTCCAGATACAATCGTGGTAAACGGGTGATTAAAAAAAATCTCGGTGCTAAGAAAATTCTTGCTCCTCTTTCAGAGAACGGTGCCGCTGTTGTTGCTGCTGCTGAGGCTAAAGTTGCTGTTGCAGTTGCTGCTGCTGAGGCTAAAGTTGCTGTTGCAGTTGCTGCTGCTGAGGCTAAAGCTGCTGTTGTTGCCACCCAGAAAATTCGTATTCCTCTTTCGGAGGAATGAACTGCTGCTGCTGTTTTGCTGCTGTTGCTGCTGTTGCTGCTGCTTTTGTTGTTGTTGTTGTTGTTGTTGCTGCTGCTGCTTCTGCTGCTGTTTCTGTTTCTGTTGTTGCTGTTGTTGTAGTTGTTGTTATTGCTGCTGCTGCTGCTGCTGCTGTTGTTGTTGCTGCTGATGCTGCTGCACATGTTTGTTTTTCATCTGTCTTCGAAGATCATGTGGCCAAGCAAACACGCTTCGACATAACATCTTCACCTTTTCTGCATGTGTATACAATCTCCTCTTATAGGTTGCGAAAATGCAGCAAGCAAAACAGGTGGTCATCCTTCGGGCGACATACTTTGAAATTATTATCCCTCAAGACGAATTCGATTCGGTGCAATGCGTTTCATGTGATTTTGAGGTAAATTGTTTTTTTTCATATACGATGTCTGCGATATCTTCGTTCAAAACTTCTGCCGATTGAAGTATCGGCAGAGACATTTTTCGGGCGTACGTGTCGATCACAAAGTCCGAGCCAAAGAAGACCCGTCTCGTTGGTATTAGAAAGGTCGGTACGAACGATAACTCTAGCAGTGCACATTCCCATTCTCCGTCCAATATGTTGCTTTTGTGAAGTTGAATCGTAAATGCGCCACCGTTATTATTTTCAAGACCCGAAAGAGAATCCTCGCTCGATACGTAAAGGTAAAATTCATCCATCGTTTAGTTACAAGTTTTGCTTCAGGCATTCTTATAGACGAGAAATAAGGTGATCAGTTTTAAGCAGTGATTTTTTTCCATCTTTTTTCTTTATTTTTAATTTTATTTTGTTATTTTTAATTTATTTACATTTTTGATTTTTGAATATTTCTTTTTTTTGAATTTTTGAATTATTAAATTTTTAGAATTTTCAATATTTTTTTTGAATTATTCGAATTTTAGAAGTTTTTGAATTTTAAATTTATTGAATTTTGAACTTTTGAATTTTAATTTTTTTAAATTGAATTTTCCAAATATGGAGACAAACTCTTGTTTAATGAACGTACCTACAATGCCGACACGTCTAAGGAATTCCAGTGAAAGAGGGAGGAGGGGCATGCCCATATATGGGTTCCATACCATATATGTGAACGCCTAACGCCTTGAATTGCACAGAATGTGTACCACCCTACTTCTGATGACCGCTTATGTCAAATTCGAGGTATCAGTCTTAAAATGAGGCAGAGGAAGCTGTCTCTGTTGTTTCTTTAATTTCGAGTTCTGGAGGATATATTAATGGAACCCAATCAGAAAAATTTTGATTGTTAATGGAAAGAATATTATTAATATATCTGAATGTGAAATTAAATGATCTGGTTTCTTTGATCTTTTTGTTTTTGACAAGTGTCTGAAGGAACTCCGACTCATATAAAAATAAGAAGAGGTCGGCATGGAGAGGCGAACAGTTCGTTCCCATAGGAATGCCGACAATTTTTTGAAAAAGTCTACCTCCAAATTCAACAAATATGTTGTCAATAAGAAACTCCAGCATACTGATCACTTGTTTCTCTGTGTAGCATGTTTTACCTTTTTGTTCTCTATTAACAAAATATGCCGTTTGGTATCCCAAATTAATAAAGTTATAACGTATGCTACCATTTTTATGTTGAAAAGCATATTGGATTATTTCTTTCAGACGCTTTTTTTAATTTCACATGGGGAATGGTGGTATACAGGGTTGAAAAATCGAAAGTTTTGATGGAACTAATTTCATTCGTTTGATGTGTTTGAGCTTTTCATTTTGCCATTTGATTAGGGACTTTCCGTTTTGAATTTTCCTCGGAGTTCAGTATTTTTTTCAGAGAAAGATCGAGATTTAAAATTATCAAGAGGTTCTTAAGTCAAGAAGTTCTTAAGAGTTTTTTAGAATCCACATATGGTCAATACCACTACACGAGTAAACAGTTTCGCAGTATTTCTGAAGACGTTCTTTTACTGTGGACAGAATCTTTGTCAATCTAATGGACAATTTTTTAGTCGAACATGCAGAAAAAGCCGGCAATGAACCGTTATTTGTACGGAATTTTGTGAAGCTTAGGTATCCAATACAAACAAGTTAGGTCCTCCGATTTGCTGTTCAATGTTATGTTCATTGAAGCCATGAATGACTTATGATTCGCCAAAATCTCATCCTTGTCAAATGGTATGTTTTTGTATGTGGGATTACCTGAGTGCTTATTTATTCCTAATTCTTTTACAAGACACTCGTAGTAGTACAATTTACATACAAAGACAATATTGGTTGAAGCTTTGTCCGCAGGAACAACAACATACTTATCGTGAAGAGATGATAGACATTTCACAGCCTCTTTGTCTCTGAAAATTGACCTTGGTCGATCATTCACACTGTTTTTCAACTTATGAATGCGACGTTTTATCAGAGACCTGATTGTTTTGACCAAATCTGATAAAATGTATAGTTCAACTTCTTCTCGTTTAGCCCATTATATAGCGTAGTCCTCAATTAAATTCATATTTATTTTGCAGTTATGGTTCCAATTGATGTGTTGGGGTTCTCTAAACTTAGGACCATGAGATATCACCTTGCGGAGATGTCCATGTTGAATTATGTTTAGATCCCCATTATAACATGGACAAATGAGCTGTATTTATAAGGCGATTGGGAACAGTCAAATGTCATAGGTTTTGTTTTAGATTGTTCTAAATCAAGGTCCTGCAATGCTTGTTGATAGTTAAATACTTTAGGTGCAATGGTTTTGGTGTAATTGTAGGATACAATAGGAACAGACTGATTTTGAAAATAAAGTGGAATTTTAGATGTTACCTCCTCGTGGTGTAGAATATTGCTTATGTTGATGGCATCAATTCCTTTATTGGTAAACTGAACAAGAAGGAATTTCCTCTTTTACTCATGCAAAGGTTCTGATCTTACTGGTTTAAAAAGGCGGAAAAGAGCTACATCACAAATTATACTGACCAGTCTGTATATTGAGACCTTACTATGTACGGTTTAATAGTTCTTACAATATACACCTGGTTAGAATTATTACAGAGGAGAAAATACCTATTAAGTGCCACCGTACCCCTTTTTCCGATGAGTTAGATCTTGCAAACAAATATACTGAACAATAAGGCGAATTCAAAAAGGGGAAGTAAAAAAAAACTGACAAAATCAAACGCTATCAATCAACGGAACAAGTCAAAAACAACTGCCATATTCCTGACTTGGTACAGGCATTTCCCGAAGATAATGGTGGGTTAAACCTTGTTTCTAAACCTCCAACTTGTACGACAGTTGTTTATAGGTCCGTTAGGGTCTCTTGCTGTAAAACCTTGAAATTGAGCACAAGGTCAAAGATCAACAAATTGACATTTTGACCATTGCCCTAACCTGATACTGGTACATGCTAGAGATCTTTTTTTAAAATCGTACATGACATATTATCTTGAAAAGGGTAAATCGGAAGGATCCTTCTTTAAACCGGAAGTAGGCATTTTTGCACTAATTAAATGAAAAAAATAAAGAAAGCATATATTTTTTTTAAATCAGTGTAAAGCAACTTATCATGTTAAACCGGAAGTGACATTTTTGGATACCTGAAATAGCAAAACTATATCCCTTACTTCAATTAAAAGTATAATTAGATAGATTTTAAGAGTCGGTGTAGAATAAGCTATAATATGACATGGAAAGTGAGTTGGAGTCAACTGGAATATCAAATAATATCCCGTATTTTTCATGAAAAATGACACAAACTATTCACTTTTGGATCAAGTCTTATATCTCCTTACATTGAAACAGTTTATTAAACCAGGTGTATCTATTTTTCATCTCAATATTTCTATCAAAATTGGGATAGATGGAAAGAATAAAATGCCCCTTACCAAGTGGTTTTTCATTTTGATTCCTATTGTTTTGCTACGAGGAAACAAAGATACCAAAGGGACATTCAAACTTACAGATCGAAAGCAAACTGACAATGCAATGGCAAAAAACGAAAACAACGACGAAAAGACAAACAACAGTTCATATAACACAACATAGAAAACTAAACTAAAAACTGAGCAACGCAAACCCTACAAAAAAACCGGGCTGTTGATATTCACCAATCAATCAATGGCACTTTAATGGTAAAGCAAGCGTATGATCACACTTACAAACAAATCATCATATTGTAATTTTCATGCTACATTTCGCTGTTTGCGGAATCGGAGAATGTATCACATTAAACTTTGGTACTAAATGCGATATAATGTTGGTATAAAATATTAATACTAACCATCATTGGAATTTGAACATTCGATTCCCACGTTTTCACTGTGACCACAGTGTGCAATGTACAATTCATCCTTTGCACAATCGGTCAATCTGAGTTCATTTCCAGTGCAAGTCATATTAAACCATATTCCATAAGTTTCAACATCTACCTTGGGGACCAAGTATATTCCAGTGCTGTAAATGCAAATATCGCCATATAATATCAAAATTGAGATTGATATTTTCTATTCTAGTTCTAAGATATCACAACATTTCGGAACGTAAAGTTTTTTTTATTGTAGCAAATTAATAAGAAAGATTCGTTGATTGGGTAGTGTGCGATAAAACATTTAATAATTTTTGTCTTAAGAGGAGTTCCATTTCCTATTGACAGTTAATATTAAAGTTATTGTTATCATGAATTGAATAAACAAAATATACGCGCCTTGCGTACACAATTTTATTCCTGGTACATGTAAACATGATGACTTTATATTCAATAAAATTAGCAAACGGTTCAACAGTAGAATTCCCTACATGTCAGCAGTGATCGGGTGGTTGTTATTGACAAAGACTCATGAATATTCGATTCTTAAATGTTAAATTCATCTTTTGAGGAGAAAGTAGTTAATTATTACAAGTTATAATGTAAGTGACTAGTCGACAGTGAATTCTTATAAAGATAAGTTACAGATAAATCCTATTTTTTTATAGCTTTTGGGTATTTCGTAAATCGTACCATAATTTTTTATGTTTTCATTCCGGCTGTTAACTCATACTACAAAAACTATGGTATAATTGACAATACACCGAAAAATTATCTAAACAATATCGAATATATGTTAAAACCTAAAGAATGCAGTTTCCGTTGTCACCTGTGGATTCATTATTATTCGTTTGATACCAATTTTTGTGGATTTCGAATGTAAAAGGCGAACCACGAAATTACAATTTTTTTATAAGGTAACATGCAGACTTTGGCAAAACCACGAAATCAAATATCCCCCAAAATGCAAGTTTTCCTCAATCCACCAAAATTGGTATCCACGAAAATAAATGAATCCACAGTAACCATTCTTTATTGCATATTATTTTTGTGGAATCAGTTTTCGGGCCTAACAAAAAAAAACCCGCATTATTTCTAAAAACGCATGGAATTCTTGTACGGCGGTATCATTAAATAACCTTCTGCTAAAACAATAGACGCATTAATAATTGCGTGGGATAACGTTACAGTCGAATACATATTGAAAGAATTAGGTTTTCTGCATATTCTGTGTGACGAAGAAACAGACATTATACTGACAGACAGGTGTAAAGATTTAAATATAGAAAACGATCAAATTCTTGTCCATGTAGTGGAAAAGTACAGACTGTTCACAGATTGCGACCAAAGCTGTAAAAAATATCACGATATGGAATATTGTTTTAGTATTATTTTTTGACTTGTTGTTTCCAATCTCGATGGCATTAGTTATGGCGACTTTCAAAATCTGGATTCGACCTTTTTGTCAAACCGAATTTTCCGCGTTCCAACGAATAGGTATGGATGAGTTTTAAAATATCTGAAACAATCCCGAAAACACACAAGAGTACTTCTAAAATTGGAGAAATTCAAGCAAGCTTTTCATTGATGGTGTCAACAAATGGATTTCTCGATTTGTCGTGAAAGATCAAAAGACAAAAATTTATCTTTTGAGGAGAAAGTAGTTAATTATTACAAGTTATAATGTAAGTGACTAGTCGACAGTGAATTCTTATAAAGATAAGTTACAGATAAATCCTATTTTTTTTTTATAGCTTTTGGGTATTTCGTAAATCGTACCATAATTTTTATGTTTTCATTCCGGCTGTTAACTCATACTACAAAAACTATGGTATAATTGACAATACACCGAAAAATTATCTAAACAATATCGAATATATGTTAAAACCTAAAGAATGCAGTTTCCGTTGTCACCTGTGGATTCATTATTATTCGTTTGATACCAATTTTTGTGGATTTCGAATGTAAAAGGCGAACCACGAAATTACAATTTTTTTATAAGGTACATGCAGACTTTGGCAAAACCACGAAATCAAATATCCACCAAAATGCAAGTTTTCCTCATTCCACCTAATTTGGTATCCACGAAAATAAATGAATCCACAGTAACCATTCTTTGTTGCATATTATTTTTGTGGAATCAGTTTTCGGGCCTAACAAAAAAAAACCCGCATTATTTCTAAAAACGCATGGAATTCTTGTACGGCGGTATCATTAAACAACCTTCTGCTAAAACAATAGACGCATTAATAATTGCGTGGGATAACGTTACAGTCGAATACATATTGAAAGAATTAGGTGTTCTGCATATTCTGTGTGACGAAGAAACAGACATTATACTGACAGACAGGTGTAAAGATTTAAATATAGAAAACGATCAAATTCTTGTCCATGTAGTGGAAAAGTACAGACTGTTCACAGATTGCGACCAAAGCTGTAAAAAATATCACGATATGGAATATTGTTTTAGTATTATTTTTTGACTTGTTGTTTCCAATCTCGATGGCATTAGTTATGGCGACTTTCAAAATCTGGATTCGACCTTTTTGTCAAACCGAATTTTCCGCGTTCCAACGAATAGGTATGGATGAGTTTTAAAATATCTGAAACAATCCCGAAAACAAACAAGAGTACTTCTAAAATTGGAGAAATTCAAGCAAGCTTTTTATTGATGGTGTCAACAGATGGCTTTCTCGATTTGTCGTGAAAGATCAAAAGACAAAAATATACTTTAACCGATCGAAATAACTTTATCACTTATCTATTGGACTAGTAGGCTGTATAAGAGATTCAGGTGTAAGCATGTATTTGCTGTACGAAAGAGACGACATATTTCTGTGATTTGGAAGAGCTCTGGATTCCCACATGAAAAGTTTGACTGCAAAGGGCAATATTATATTAATCAAAATTATTAATTTCGAAATGTATCTATTTTTATTATTAAGTATTTCGTTATAAAGATGAGGAAATTAATTATTGCATTTTTACTGAATCATACTACATTTTAATTTGAATCAAAAGTCTAAACCGTAAATCAATAATTCAGATTACATGCTGCGAAGATGGGTTTTATATTTTAAGCTTCATTTGGGGTAACCAGACTCTAACTTATTCACCCTAACATTTTTTTTAAACTTTTTTAACACATCCATTAAATTCAAGATGTAAGCAGTGTATTTCAAATAATTTTATTGTATTTCCTACCTACCCTTGCTAACATTTTTACAACATGTAACACTTTAAACACACAGAAGACGTTACTAAGTTGTAAAACTTGTGTCTGAACCATGTGTCATTTTGAGCAATAAAAAATGTTAGAACTTAAAGGGGCATTTATTAAGCTACGAGATATATAAAAAATAAATTGTGATTTGTTTTTGTTCAATCATTTATGAAAATGAAATAGTGCAATAATGAATAGCTTTAAACAGCAAGTTTGGTTTAATTTTGTCAAAATAAGCTAAAATACATCGGTGATGAATTATTCACTTGCAAGTGAATAATTCGACATCATTGAATTCGTGTTCATGTGACCTTCAATCTAACCCCTTAGCTAGAGATGAGTTACGCATGTTTCCAGCTATTAAAAGGAAAAGAATGTCATCATTGAAAGTGAAACAAGGACGAACCATTTGGTTGACTGTTTTGATCGACAAAAAATCATTCTCATACACGTAAAAACAATGATAAATATACTTTTTTAACCTACAATATGAAATTAAACAAACCTAAAATAATCCAATTACACGTGGTTGCTATCTATTTATATTTATGTTTATGTTTATATCAGGTTAAATGATCGTCGACAGTCTTCGGAGGTCATCCCGATGTTTAATTAGATGGAGTCTAGACAACAAATACACATGACATGCCGATACATATTATTGCGTCCATGTATTGTCAATTGTTTATTGTAGTCTTTTTGTTATTTAGATATACTTTTTAGTATGTTATGAATAAAAATGAGAATTTGAGTCAAATCGGTGAACATGAATTTGACAGTTAATGTCCCATTAAACACATATTTTTAATTGGGCCATATAAGTATGCCTGACACACACTTTTTCCGAAGAATTTTAATAATCAATTAGTAAAACTATTACACTTTAAAAAGAAAAGGATGCAAATCAGTAATAGAGTGCAAGAGCTAGGGAAAGGTTAATTGTTATAAAAGAGAAATTTAAATTTCCTCGTAAATTTTTAATGTTATCGGCTGAAATGCCATTGTTAAATATCATTGCTATTACAAACTTAAAATTTCATTTATGTCATGACATCTCTAACAAAAAATAATTGTTACCACGCGCTAGTCATTCATCAGTTGCACAAAATCTAGAAGTGATTTCTTAACAATAACCGCATCACACTAGACCAATACCATGCATGAAGATCCCGCTACGATCTATAACAAATAAGATCGCGGCGAGATCGTAGTATGGTCGGCTTGAATATTTAATATTTTATAGTTTTAACGTTCATACCACGACCTTGCTATGATCCTGATAAGATCCTGGTACGATTCCGCTACGACAGTAACACGATCCAGTGACGATCTTGTCACGCTCTTGCTACGTCTAATAAGACCTTATTACGACTTACACGATTTAAGTACGCTTCTACAAAACGTATCAAGACCTTTCCAATCGCATTACGATTTCAATACGAGTTTACTACGATCTAACTACGATTCCACTACGTTTCAACTACGTTTCCACTGCGTTGTCACTACGCTCTTCGTCTCTATAAATATCATTACTTTCCAATTGTACACACCAGTTTCCTTGAGAAAACATGTCACTAAGGGTATCAAAAACACGTAAAAGTCGTGGTGTTAAAAGTAGAGGTCATGCAATTATCGGGGCTAGGAAGTAGTAGAATCGTACGTAGTGAGGTCGTACTACGTAGCAGCGTATTATTGTCCCCGATTGCACTACGTTTCCAAAACAATACTTCTACGCCCATCCCGATCTTACTATGTCTTTACTAATAACTTTCTACGCTTGTACTACGTATAGTTTTGGCCACGAATGCACAACGAATGTTTTGAACATGTTGGACCTCCACGATCAAGAAAACTTGGCACGTCCTTACTACGATCTTACCACAATCACCACGATCCTATAACGACTTCCATTTTTTCATAATTTCT